GGCGGGTCGGCTCCGTCCCGGCGCTGCGGCACGACGGGCCGGCTCGGGAGGGGAGGTTCAGACCCGTCTGGGTTTGGTTCGGTTCCCCGGGGAGCAAGTCGTTTGTCTCAAAAGGTAAATCCTTCTGCAAACGCGTTGCTTTTTTTAATTACGGCCCGCAGGCGTTGGCTTGGGGCGGGGAAACGGGGTGCGTTCCCCGGGTTTCCCTGCAAACCAGGGCGTTTTGTGAAACTTTGCTTTTGTCGGATGCCAAGACGGAGGTGTCGCAACGTAAGGAGACGCGCCGGGAGCCTGTAACCCAGCCGAGAGCAGCCAAGGCACGAAACGTGCCGCAGCCCGACGCGTTTGCTGGTCTTAGGTATGATGCACGGCGCTTGCACGGTCCGTTTGAGCACTGGTGTTATATCCAAAAACCCAAAAAAAAAAAAAAACACCCAAACAGGCAGCTCATTTTGATGAGTCAAAACCAGAGAAACAGCACGCAATTCCAGTCCGCGGGGTGAAGCAGCAGGACGTACAAACCTTGCCGCTTTCGACCCTTGCGTTGAGTTTGTGGCGTTGCCTGCAGCGGGCCCAAGGCGTCCCCGGCGTAACCGTGCTGACCTTGTGGACGCGTCTGGAGGGCTTACGCCTAGATCTGGTTTGACGGTCACCTCGGACGTCTTGCCTTGCTCCTCTGCTCTGTGCCTCAGTTTCTCTGTTTGGAAGAAGATATTCGCCTCCTTTGAGATCTCCTGATGAAAGCTCTGCGGAGGAGGTTGGCCTCGCTTATTAGGAGCGTTAAGTGCTTGCTGCTGTTAGGATAGGGATTCATTTGGCTGCCTTGCTTACGTAGGCTTGCCTTTAGCAGGCCGGCTTGTAATCCAAGCGCTGCATGGGCAAAGCTGGCGAGCTAACGCTGCTGCGGGACCTGCCGCGCTTCGTTTCCCGGCTTCTGTGACGCGGGAGCGGGCAGCTTTCGCGTAGTCGGGACTGAAGGCTGGGGAGGAGGACGGATCCCACCGCGCAGATCCTCTGGCAGAAGCAGCGGCCCTAGATGCGGCCCTGTTGCCTTCCTTTCTTTTTTTTTTTTCCTTTTCTTTTTGCAAGCTGGCATATCGCTAAGCAAATCTCTTCCAGTCCTCTTGGTCCTTTGCTTTGCCTTCTGCTGGCTGGACAAATCTTGTTTTCTGTCCTTTGCTTTCATCTGAGCTGGTTTTGTTTGCCATCTATTTTCTCTCTTTTTATGTGCGCTTAAAAGCTTTTCCTCCAGATGGCCCTTGGCCCTCTTAGGGGTTCCCTGGCTTCGGTTTTTTTTTTTTTTCCTTCCCGCTCTTTCACTCGCTTTAGCTTTCTTCGGCGAACTCATTTCTTCTGGGTTGAGCGGTGCCGGCAGCCAGGGCGCCGTCGCAGCCATCTCCCGGAGACGTCG